GGACTCCACAGTTCAACCCTGAGCTACACGTATTCTCTTCTATTGGTATTCACCAAGATTTATTCCCATTTGTCCTGTATTAATGGCCCAGCCTGATGTGATGTGAAATGCTCCTTTCTTTTAATGGACTTGTTTAAAAAAATGCAACTAACAGGAGGTGTGCAAAGGGTTATTATCAGGATTGCTGCTATAGGAGGACAAAATAAACTAAGCCTTTCTTTCCTCCCCTAACAAAAGCTATACTGCTGACCTCCCAACCATACCAAGTCTAATTAATATAATTTAAATCCAGGATCACTGGTTGCAGTTTAATCTGCACTGTATTTGTATAATTAGGTAGTTTTCTCTTTCAGAAATGATCCTGGCTAGACAGGGCTCTGATGAATCCACAAATAAAAAATTCTGGGAAACCCTCCTGAAGAAACACCATCACCAGAATGAGAAGAAAAGAAACATCCTTCCAATTGTCCGTTCTTTTGGAGAAGGTGGCCAGAGAAAGTCTGATCCTCACTCAATAGATAGGACAGGTAAGGATCTGTCTACTCTGGCTATTCTGGTCCAATTTCCACATTAGACTGGGAACTATAAACCATATGTTGAGAAATCATTGGGAATATATAACATATCTGGTTCTAACTTATGGTTTACAACACCCAGTGGCTCAGTCACACAATACTCAAAGGCAAACCACAAATGTTTGGGTGCACATCTACTTATCAGAGTACCCCTTCCTAATCCCTCAGTACCTCTGCTTGTTTTCTGGATCATATGTACTCCAGCATAGCGGAGGAGAATGAAGAATGTAGAGGTTGTTTTGGAGAATACTTGCTCCATCTGACAAAACCAACTCAATGCATGGACGGGGTCAACTGCATGCAGCTCATCCTTTCCGTTTGGTATACTGCCTCAGCAATTTGGAGGACAGATTGGCTGCATTCACATGATAAACTGAATGATAATCTATAGTGAAACCAACCAAAACTGCTCTGTTCATATAATATGCTATCCCCAAATAAGGTAACCATACTGAATTGATGGCCTGGTTCACACATGATGTTAAGGTATAGAGTGATTTGTTGGCCTTTAGCTTAATTATTTAGCCTACAATTTATGGGTTATCATGAGTGAGCACAAACATTGTCTGATTGGAGCATTAAGTGTAGAATGATCCAACTTATATTTAACTAGGCTTTAGTCAAACAATCTGCCCAAAGTGTAGGATTATAAGGTGAAGGTAAAGGTCCATCTTCCAGTGTTTTCTGGCATACTAAGTTTGTATCTTTTTTATATAACAAGCATCATTTTTTAATTGTAAATTTCCGAAGACTCTAGTAGTTGGTGGTATTATTTATGTCATATCAACTCAGTGTTGACCCTTAGCAACCACATAGATAGATTCTCCCCAGGATGATCTGTCCCAACCTGGGCAGATCAGGTCCCAATCTTGCTGCTGGTCATCTTCTTCTTCTATTTTTTTCCACCATTCCCAGCATTCTAAACTTCCCAAGAAAGCTAGGTATTCACATAATATGTCCAACGTATGATAATTTGAGCCTGGCCAGTTGTGCCTCATGTGAGAACTCTGGATTGGTTTGTTTTATTTTTTGCCGGTTTTCTTGACTATCCATGGTACTTACAGAGGTCTTCTCCAACACTAAAGTTCAAAAGAATCAATACTTTTTATATCCCTGTTTCTTCAAAGCCCTTTTTTCCCCTTTCCCATCAATGATTGCTCCCAATCTTTGGCCTTCATAAAATCTCCGTGGGCACTGCTGAAGGCTTCTCAAAGGTTTTAACAGCTGCAGAGGGATGGAGGCATGTAGAGGTGAAAAGCTAGAGATGGAGTGTCCTGACCTTTAAGCTATGTTCAGCACAGCCAGCATTTTCGTTTCCTCAAAATGCAGCGGTGGCAATTTCTCCTTCCAATTGTTGAATATTGATGATAAAGACAGCATTAGATCCTTCGTTTTTCAGCAAAAATTTCCCAAGGAATGGAACTCTTTCTAAGTGCCCATAAATAGAGGCAGCTAGGATTTTATTATGGGGAGTTTACCCACCACTTTCATTTCTACTATCGTGGAAGAATGTAGTCAGCAAATTCATGCATATTTTTTTTGTTTTGTTTTCTAAAAAAAAAATCTTCGTTTTGTGTGTGTGTGTGGGGGGATTTTCATTTTGATAAGGATTAAGCATTTCTCTGGAAACATTCACATACCCCATTTATTTAATTCAATAATAAAAAAAATGGGGGGATCTAGAAAATACCTGTCATCTTGTTTAAGTTGCTGCTTTAAAAGAAGTACTGCTCCTTTGCCTACAGTGAAAATTGTACATTAAGGGTTTGTTACATGAAGCAGCAGTTCATGAAAGTTATTTTCTTCTTGTACTTGCCATTCACATACAGTAAACAAAATAATCCATGCACAGTTGGACATTGTGAGTGAAACCAAGCATTCCACATGTTTTTCTATTGAGAAAGGTGTGTGTAATATGTAATTTTTCTCAAAATTATATAATCAACATATAGTCTATAATGTAAACATTAATACAACAAATTATCTAGATTTTTCCCTTCTGTTTCTACTTAGGAATGACTACACTGTCTCTTCATCCTCCTTCTAACACATTAGATGTGAGAAATGGATTGACTCATGATACTACCCCAACAGACATGAGCAGAGTGAGGCCTTGTTTATTTAATTGTTTGTCACTGATTGTAAGAGCACCTTACAGCCAATCAGATTTGACTCCATTAGAGTCAAAGTAATAGGTATTGCTTTTATTCTGAATTGGCATTGTTAGGCAAATGGGTTTTGTGATTATGTCACCGTCAATGAGAAAAAGAGTTGGGTTCCCTGGAGATTTACTGTGGACCACGGTTGCTGTCATATGAGTAGCAGCCATGGTATGTTAGGATCTCATCTGAACACACGCATCTCTGTATATTGTCCATTAAAAAAAACACTGAAAGTCAGCCAAAAATGGGGGAGGTTCTTTAGAACTTATTCAGGTAGTCCTCACTTAACAACCGCAATTGGGACTGGCAACTCAGTTGCTAAGCAGTGCAGTTGTTAAATGAAATGTCATGTGACTGTGCTGACTTACATCAGTTCCAGCTGCAGTCATTAAGCAAATCACTGTGAGTTGTTAAGCATGACATCATATGACCACAACCTGTGACTTCCCGCCAGCTTCCCCATTGACTTTGCTAGTTGGAAGCCAGCTGTGAAGGTTGCAAATGGTGATCATGTGACTGTGGGATACTGCGTCTGTTGTAAATGCGCACCGGTTGCCAAGTGCCTGAATTGCAATCACGTGACTGCGGGGACACTGTGATGACCACAACTTTGAGTACTGGTCATAAGTCTCCCTCTTTGGTTCCATCATAACTTTGAACAGTCACTGAACGAGTGGTTGGTAAGCAAGGACTACTTGTATTTATTAAATGCATCATAATCTCAGTTCAGCCTTAAAAATTAAGCTCTTTTTTTTGTAATTAGGCAGAGCATCATTTTATGAAGAAGATTCCTGTTGGAGCAGAAGCTGCAAATGTTTTAGTTGGAGAAGCAGATTTCCTTAAACAACCTATTGTTGCCTTCCTACGCTTATCGCCAGCTGTTCTTCTCCCAGGCATGACTGAAGTTCCACTCCCTACCAGGTAAAATGTAGTAATTGTGGTAGTGGTAGATTAGGATAACTAACAGTAAAGATGCCCTCAAATCAGTATTGACTCTTAATGACTGCAGCTATGTAGTTTTAATTGGCAGTGTTACAGAAATGATGGTTTGCCATTGCTGCCTTTGGGATCGCTTTTTTTTTTTACCTTACCAGCCTAGCCAACAGTTATTAATACTAATTTCACACTGCTTATCTACTGCTAATGCTATTGTTTGTCACCTTCGTTATTATATTTAAGATTATGTTTGTAAATAATTTATCCATGCCATTTAGAATGATGTTTGTTGCAAACTTTGGAATGTTGTCCCCCCCCCATCCTCCATGAGTTCAGAAAAAAGGATTTAATCATTCATGTTAGTCATGTTGTAATCTAGACTGACACTTTTTTTTAATTGGCTGAGAGGAGAAACAAACTGAAAAGGAAAAGCTTTGCTGTCTTGATCAAAGAATTAACCAAATTATTTCTACCGTTCTATGCTCTCTGCTGAAATTAAAAAAAATAAAAATCCAACTTTTTCAGTTGACTCAAGATAGGAGAAATTGATATGTTTTAATAGGAAAAAAGATAGAAAACAACTTAAAGAACCATTGGCCAGTGGTAAGCACAATTCTCAGCATATGTTTGCATAAGCCATAGTGGAGGACTCAGCAGGTAAGATGAACTTTGTTGCAGTTCTTGTGCACTGTGTACACAAAGCACCCCATGTGTATACCTCAGCACAGTAATGTGCTGAGGGGGATACTTATAGATGAGATCATTTTTAAATATAGGAGTACGGCTTGTTTGATATTCATTGCATTTATACTGATGAATAACCTGGCTGATGATAAAGAAACACAGTGTCCACAGTTGCTCCTTATTGTGGTTAGGCTAAACTTTTCATAGACTTTGCTGGAACCACTTCTTTTTCACTGGTGGATGCTCTCCCTTCTTGTCTAGATTTGCCCCAGGAGCTGTCCTCCTTTTCATGCAGAGATGTATTACAAAACTATTTACCTTTTCCTTTTTCATGCACATTTCTGACATAATCTCTTTAACAAGTTTTATTAAGAAGGATTGGGTATATGAATTTCATCAACTCATCTATTTCTTGTCTAAGGCCAATATATCCCCAACTTATATTAGGAAGAGTTTTCTTTTCTTTTCTTTTCTTTTCTTTTCTTTTCTTTTCTTTTCTTTTCTTTTCTT